CAAATTGTTAATTGTTATTTTAATCATACCGTGTTAGCTCATGTGTATTTGTTTATTAATTTTCATTGACTTCCTTTAATAATTACAAGCTGTGGTATGATATCGACGTGGGCTTATGGCTCTATGAGCAGCTGATTCCTAGTCCCTTTTGATATATTTGTCCTGTTTCTATTTTTAAAGTATTACACATATCTATCTATATTTTTATTGATTTTAAAAAAACAAAAACAACACTAAAGTGTTCGTGCCAAGGTACTTTATCTTCATACGTAGTATGAGACCAGATAAATATTTCCGATATTAATTTCTTCTGAAAAACAATAACTTTGTCATGAAAAACTGTATGATTATTTTTCGTGTTGCAAGTCGGTACTATTGGTCAATTTTTGTCAAAATCCGGACAATTGTCCGTTGTGAAGGGGACAGGTTAGCAAGCCCGTTCCAAACAAAGATAGTTTGACCGCATTTTGGATACTAATTTATTTATTTATTTTATTTATTTAACTTCTTGTCGGAGAACTGACAGACAAACAATCACTTAGAAAATTAAATAAATAATCGAATTCTGATGATGAGTTCCCACATATAAAAATTAACAAAAACAGCTGATGCTACAACTATCATATCTGATGCTACATACATTCAAAGATTTTTAAAGTTAAACGCCGTTTCGCTGCAGCTATACCAGTACAAAACAGATCAAGATCACAGTCCACACACCATTTATTAAACGCAGAGGAGGCTCGCAATACAAAGGAATTTTGTCTGTAATTGGTTCTAACCAAAGGTATATTCAGCAATGGTCGTTCACGGAGGCTTTTTGTATTAGTACGGAGCTGTATTTTATTAAGTAAATCCGGACAGTCTATAGAGCCACGAGCAACGCTCATTAGGTAAGAAATATCACTTATTGTACGTCGGTGTTCTAATGGAAGGAAATGATATCGTTTGCATCGGTTGATATAACCTAATGTCCAAACTTGAGCTTTATAATCTAAGAAACGCAAAAATTTCCTTTGGATATTCTCTATACGATTAATGTAAACTTTATAGTTGGGGTTCCAAACGTGACTCGCGTATTCCAGATGACTTCGTACAAAAGCACAGTAAAGAATTTTTATTGTTTTTAATTTTTTAAAATTTAGAGATGTCCTCATAATGAAGCCTAATGCTTTGGAAGCCCTATTGATTATGCTTTCAATGTGGTCATCAAACAGAAGTTTATGATCATGCATTACCCCTAAGTCACGGATTCGATTTACCTTTTTAATAGGGCTTCCAAGTAGATAGTAAGTATTATTAAGTATGTTGGTTTTTCTGGAAAAAGTCATAGTCAGACATTTAGAAACATTTAGGCCCAGCTTATTAATTGTACAATATTTTTCGAATCTAAATAAGTCTTCTTGCAGTTTATTTGCATCATACAGAGAAGTAACCTGTTTTAAAATTTTCATATCATCTGCGAATAACAATATTTTAGAATTTTCAAAGCAAGTTTCAATATCATTAATAAATATAACGAAATATATAATGAATAAAATCTTGGAGACAGTCAGAATGCATCTAAGGTTCATCAATTTTTCTGATTAATTTAATTCTTACAAAATTGCAATAAAATTATTTGCAATGGAAATGCAATCATTTTTTCCTATTTAGATATCGCGTAGGTATTTGTTTTTTAAACAGACCAATATGTTTCGAGCTCTTTACATAGTAACTGTGAAGTAAGCTGTGGCTAATTCTAATATTGACACAAATCGCTCCATTCTGAAGTAGTTACAATAAATATTAACTTCACTTCTTTATTCTAATTTTATACGCAATATAAAGTATTTCATTCCTTCATCAAGTTTCAACTAAGAAGACGCTAACTTTCTACCAATTTTTGAAGACAATTTCAATGGGTTCTGAATGGCCCCAAAAATATTAATGGATTTGTTTTTCGGTTTTCTCGATTGTTGTACGTAGCGTAAATTGGACTGTTAAAAAAAACAAATATACGCAATTTGGATCCGGAAATAAAAAAAATAATTTTCTATTAAGTAATTCATTCATTACATTATTAAATTTCACCTACACATGTGACGTTTTTCTTGAATTAATATCAAACTACGAAACATAAAAATTCCCAAATAATTGCTATATCACATGCGTATCTTTCTGCGATAGCAACTAATGATGTATGAGGCCGACGGCCGGCTAAAACTGTCTATTAAACATCTATATCCGGAAAAAGCCGGTGTTATATATGTGTTATTGCATCTGCGTTGAGTGAGATCCGGTCAAACCACGTGCTTAGACAGCTTCCTCATTTAATTCATGTGTCTGTACTCCCGTTCAGAGGCCTGATTGTAAATTTGTAATCATTCAAACTTAAACTTTATTTAGATCTTAATTCTATATTTATAAGGTTTAAATTAAAATTTGAAGCTTACATATTTGACAACTTACACTAAGGCCCCAGAGTACAACAAGTTAAGTAGCCATCACTTTTCGTTCAAATGTGCATTTGATATTGCGTTGGAAAATTGTCTAAGTAGTTATATAATGAAGTCCTAGTGTAATAGTAGGTATCCAGAGACTTTTTTTAATGGGACAGTATGGGGAAATCCGAAACCATAGAAGAAACAAGGAAACTGTCCTAAGAACCATTAAGTATGTTTGTGAAAATAATTTCGACTATAAAAATGAATAAAATTGATCAACATTTTATTTTGTGTTGATAGACGCAGTTTCATGAAGGGGCCATTTCATTGTATGGGACAAAAGAAGTTGGTCAAACTTCATAAAATACTTATTCATAAAAAAATTAATAAAATTGACAATTTTTTTTAATGCTAAAAGACTTCGTTCTTGTAAGTACCATTTTATTGTATGGTAAGAAAAAATTTGGACTGCAGAAGTTGGCCAAATTTAATAAAAAGTTTTTTCATACAAATCGAATAAAACTGTCATTTTTTTAATGTTAATATATTTAGCCATTTATAAAACAATTTACGTTTTATAAATGGTTACACATTATATAAGATTACGCAACTGTTTGCGTTACATCCAGATGTCCTAACTTGGCTCGAAAATCGCTCGACTGACCGGAAACCGGCGGCGTATTGTTTGCCTTATTGTATTGTGTTATCACGTTATAGCGTTGCGCGCGCGCCGATGACGCAGCCTAGTTGCCGCGCTCACGCCGTGTCTTTCGCAGAGAGCGTCAGTCCACGAACGGTAGTCACTTAAAATGTGCGCTATATATTTTGTTAAAAAATCAATAAAATATGTTTCGGAACCACTTGTTAAAAAAGTTGTTTGTCGTTCAGACTTGATGTGTCGAAGAATCAACAATTGCTTAGTACGAGAACAGCAATTCGATTTGACAGTGTGTGGATAGGCCACGGAACTCGTTTATTATTTAAAAATGGTCGTGGCATGGTGCAGGCGAAGCACCTCCGAACAGGTACATAACGTTTCTTTGCCTATATCGTTTATTGAAAATTTTATTGTTTTCAGGACGTGCACTAAGCTTATATTTAAGTATTAAACGCTCTAATAATGTAATTTTCCTGTTTAGTCATTGTGAATTGTACAAGTTTAAATCAACAGCCATCACGTTGTAGTTCTTGGGGTTAGTTAAATGTTAGTTTGTATGTCTAGCTGTCACAGTTTGTGTGCTCGTACTTGGGGTTTTCCTCTAGCAAATAAGGTGTCCATCAAAACTGCTTTTAAACATCTGTCATCTAATGTACTTACATTCATTTGTCGAATGTAAACTCACTGGCAATAAAATTGTATTTACTATAAGGAAAAGTTATTTACATATAATTTTAAAGTCCAAACTTTTGAACGTTCGGTCATGATTTTACGTTACCGTGCTGGCTGTATGACCTGTTTGGTAGAAACCGTTTACTTACTTATTAAGGGTCGTATTCCAGAACTCTACTCAGTGCTCAAGTCAGGACTTGAGCAGACTTGAGTATGATTTCAAGCACTGGAAATACGACCCTAATGGCAAGGACTTGAGTATAATTTTCAGTGCTCACTGCAATACTCAAGTCCTTTCTTGAGTATTGAGTAGAGTTCTGGAATACGACCCTTAGAGTTCGAATCTCGTTGCATTTCTGCGTCCCGATAAAAAAATGTCGAGTTTCGGTGTGGTCTCAAACATTCCGGGAAAAAGGAGACTTTGGAGACTGTTTTCAAAAGTAGGTTTCTTTACTTACAGGCTACGTATTTAGGGAGTCTAAATATGATATTTTAATGAAACTTTATTGACCTAATGAAAGTTGTTTTCATTTTTATTTTGCGCGCGTACACGAAACAAAGGTCGTTAAATGTATTTTCAGACAGAGAGAACCTGATTGTATTGCTATCGTTCTCCCATGTTCGTTCTGTGTGGTAGATATCTTAATACTGTTTAATTAAGTGACCTAAGTTACGAACGACGAAAGTTACGATTTACGATATTTTCGTAAACGATTCATGAGATGAAAGCCTTACCACTTAATAGGCTCAATAATTCACTGTATCTAATAGACGCTACCTTTGACCTTGATCCTAAAAAATAATGTCAGTAACCGGCCTTGCTTTCTCCGGCTCCTAACTTGTGCACGTCTCCGGATGAAGGCTGCTAATAGAGTGACTGCATGTTTCTAGTTAATGCGTGAAGTTAATAAAATCCATATTTCCATACCACAAATTTGTACCTTAATAATGGGAAAATAGAGATGAATATGCTATAGGCGAAAAACATGGCGCGTCGCGACGCTTCTTGCGCCAGTGCGAGTTGAACTCGATGCAAATACCACAACGCAAATTTTTCATGGCTACTGGCTTTTCGTTGTGGTACTTCACATCATGAGATGTGGTTCGAGTTAGTCTTACTTGGTAGCAATAAAAAGATAAAACACAGCAATTAATAAGTAGGGAGCTGTTATGACGCCATTTCGCAAGTTTCAAAGAAAAATCGTTATTCAACTTAAGTTCTGAGTAGTTTAATTTGTTGACAGAGCGAACAGTCATCACCGTTCCGGCGCTGGACCACGGGTAGCGGCGCCGGTAGTTCGTATAGACATCACGATCATCGGAGTATGTTTAACAAGGTGAGTTACATAATAATATATCGTATTCTCTTTGCGCATTTCACTTAAAATGTAATTGACAAACCTGACGCGCGCGTAACTGCCATCTTGTAGCTATGTTCGGTACCGCAATGTAATGTCGAAGCATGCATTCAGCGTGCTCGGTGCATTATAGATCTGACGTCACCGCTACACTCGGTGTAGTAAATTAAATAAAATAAAAATAGAAGATGGCGGTTATGTCACTTGAATATATTAGATTACTAATGTGGATATACTTTTTTTCCATCCAGGGATATAAACATGTATTGTATTACGTCCGCTGTACTTTCTAAATCTAGAATGTACCATCATTTTATTTTCCTTCCAGGTAGCGAATTGTCTATTTATATTTCCTCCTAAATACTTGTATCTATTTTTTATTTTCATTTATAGCATTGTTGTAAGAATTCTAACTCTACACGTGCGCCCTATTTTCCTTTAATTGGTGACTTATTTATAAATGATTTGGTACGTCATTTATATTTTAAAAGGCAATTTCTGGGAAATGGCTATTAACTATTTGAGAATGTTATAAACGAGAGCATTTGTTCCACAGCAACTGAGCGACTGCGGTCGCCAAGGATCAAGTGATAATAATACAAATGGGAGTTGGGGCGGCGTTGCCCGCTGGTCTTTAGGACTGGAGGCTTTGCTCGCAGATCCTAAAGGTGTTGCCGCCTTCTCAGAATTCCTCGAGAAAGAATTTGCAAATGAAAACATAAGGTGGGTACTTTGGAAAAATTGCGACACACCAGGCGGGGGATACGCGATTGATCTTTATTCAGCTCTACTGAAATGTAATAATTTCGGGCATTCAGGTCAAAAGTTGTACTTTATTAACACAAGAAAATCGATCTTTTCGAGTTCTTTATTGTTGATTTGTTTTTTCAAACAAGACCCATCATCACGGCTGACTGGTTTAGATCTAAAAAATTAGTTGCACATAGAAGTTAATCATATTTGTCACTAGACAAATGGCCATTTTACCGTTTCCCAAAACTTTTAATTTTCTAATTTCGCCACCTTATCATTGAGGTCGTGAACTATGGTTTATGACATTTTTCTGTCTCTAGAACTGAACGTAAGTAACCGATGATTTGGCTCAAATCAGTAAACACAAGAACTTACATCCTGAGGGGGCTTACAAAACTGCGAGCGAACAGGGACTACAGTTTAGACAGTTATTACTTATTACATTTACCTATAAGCTTTCTGTCTTTTAATCTAAATATAGACTAATTCCCCTTTAATATGAATTATAAGTAGTCGTTTTTTTCTTTGTAATATTAATAGCTCCGATTGTCGATACCTCGTTTCCTTAATGTGGAACGACGGTGAGATAGACCGGGACGTTAAGAACAGAATAAGTGCAGGAAGGATGAAATGGCGACAGGTCACAGGCACTATTTGCTATCGGCGAATGCCCCTAGGCTAAAGGGGAAAAGTATACAAGACCGTGATCAGACCTGTCATGTTGTATGGGTCAGAATGTTGGGGGATGAAAAGGGAGGATGAACGAACTGTGCGTGTAGCGGAAATGCGAATGTTGAAATGGATGTATGGAGTGACGACAAAGAATAGGATAAGGACACAGGAAGAACGTCATGTGAGGAGAGTGTGTTAGGTATCAATGTGGAAGGATACAAAGGGAAAGGAAGGCCAAACAAAGGATGGCTGGATTGTGTGAAAGATGACATGGATAAGAAAGGTGTGAGTATAAAAATGATGCCTGATAGGGGAGAGTGGAAGACAAATACATATTGTGTCGACTTCCGAAGGTCAGGAAGAAGATTATTTAAATATATACCATGAGCTAAAATTATTTTCTGAACTTGACAAATATTCGTGTCAATAGATGGCATGGTGTTACAAAGAAATTTATAAATTAACGTTTACTAGTGATGAGTAGATAGCGCTAATCCTAAACAATAGAAAAGAATGGCCGGCGATATCCTTAAAAATCTGTGCAATAAGCGCCATCTAGTTGATTTTTTTGTTATCACAAGAAATTAGATTAGCTTCGATAAATTGTAGTTCGTCAATGTAAAACAAATTAGTTACAAAAATAGCTATTTGGTACTCATCTCGACATCGGTAGAGCCAACACAGCGTATCGCGTCCTGTCGTGCTAGCCCTACTAGTTTACCAATAGGTACTAAAACTTAGTTTTAAATTTTAATTTATTAGACGAACACAACAGTCGACATCCAAAATAGATTAACACAATTTGCTTAAATCTAGATTTGAACCAGAATGCCAACCAGGGCCGTGTAAAGTCAATTAATTATAAATTGCAAAAGAGAAAAGTGAAATTATTATTATTTTGACTTTTATAGTTTAACTCCAGTTAAAGTCCACAAGTTAAAGTAGTCCACTACTTGAGGACGTCTGAGACGGACTTATTTATTCGATTACGCTGTCATGTACCGCGATTAGCATTCCTCTTCAATGATTGGTTACCAACTTACGTGTGACAGAAATTGTATTTGATGTGAATATTTACGTATTAGATTTATTTAGTACGTCCTTTAAAATTTTTTTTATCAGTTTGCCAAAAATGTTATTTTTCAATATTCGCCACTTCATTATTTATAGGTTGCGATATATACAACCTTTGATAACAATGCCCTTCTAAATTTATTTCAAGACGTAACTGCGCTGAAGATCGGCGACGAATCGTCTGCATGGTATGACGCTACCTTTACACTAACTAATAAATACACAACACTCAACAACAACCAAGAACACAACCATACGATAAGGTACATTGAAGATACCAGATGCTTGATAACATACCAATGTTTAGATAATGCCGCCTCGGGTTAAGCAGTACATGTAACTGCAAATACTTCGAAAGAATTCCAAGGATTTTCCGGCTATTATGGAGTTTATAACATTGCTGTTAGTAGTGGAATATCATATTTGGCGCGAGGCATTTGAAATACGGCTATTGCCGCGTACCTTGTTTATTCTTATATCTATTTTGCCACTTTACTATTGAGGTACATTAGTTGTAAGTTATTAATAAGTAATATAAAATAAGTATAAATAAACTAAATTATTATTTAGTTTTAAGTGAGACATAATCGCGCTGCACTTTGCGAAGTTTCCTGTACCATTGCTGCGCAAGGCGAATTTTAATATTAACCTTTTTTTATTGAATGTGTTTGCATTGTGAACTGATTTGTTATGAATTTTGGATTAAATTATGCAACAGTGAATATTTATTTCGTAATAGGCACGATGTTGAAAACTAATTTCGCTTAAGTCGTGCATTATGAAGTTCTGTAGGTGTGTAATACTACGTTAGATTTTTTTTTAAAATTAGTGTAGACTAAAAAAGCCCCTAATGTCGCTCTTAGCAGTAGTAATAACGCACTAGTTACATTCTATTGTTAATTTTCAGAACGGATGAAACTTAAAACTTTAGCAACATGAATCGCATACAGCGATGTCATAAGCTGGGGTAATTTTTGATCTTCCTGACATTGTTATCTCGTTGTGCTTAAGTTTGACGCATTTTTTTTTAATTTGACAATATGTTTCATTTCATTTGCTGATTAATAGAATTTTCTTTTTAATTTTGTTATTTTATAGATTAATAAGAACTGTGCCGGGTTATTCCCGTCTGATCCCCTACAACTGATCCGCCACCAATTTTAAATCCGAACTGATCACTCATTGACTTACAATTATATGGACGTCGGGTCCGCGCTGAAAAGTGTCCGAACTTATAGGGCGTTAAAATCGTATACAGAGCGTCATTCACGCTTTAGTCTTCGTTTGTTCGACTGACAGCGAAGCGAGCAAAATTAGACAGTACTGCGATGACATTGCAATTTAAATTCAACGTTTTAGCTTTTTCATATTCCTTTACATGTCACTACGTTTAAATAGGTTGACTTGGGACATTTTTTTCGTGGTTTTTGTATTAGACCCGTCGTCCATTTATTTGTAAGTCAATGTGATCACTCTATATTTTGCAACTCCCAATGAGTCAACAGGTAATGAAATATTAAAATAAAATATTCACTTATTCGTTTTAGACAATAATATTTTTTGTGACAAATTATTGATATTGTCATATATCAAACGACAAGTAACAAAAAAACTGTCTTATGTAATATTTAAAATGTCAGTTTTTCTTTGAACTTTTGAATTGATGAACAATGTGCACCGCGTATTACTTATTGCTCAAATTGTATTTTGTTATTTTTTTAAGAAAATAACAAAGGGTTAAAGACCTTCACCGTTAAAGTATAGTTAATGTTATTAATTTCTAATAAACTAAATAAAATACAGGCAGCCCTCAAATACATTTTCTTGTAGACTGTACGACAATACCTACCAAAAAAGAGCTTGTAGGTACCAGGGTTTCAGTTGAGAATAAAATATCAATAATTGTTCTTGATTCCTTGCACAGGTGATCTGATGGGAATAAAAATAATATAAAATAAAACGGATCCACCAGGTGATCAGATGGGAATAACTTGCTGTGCCGCGTTATATGGTGTTGGCTATTCAAATGCTTGTCGTTGTTTTTCTTCACAACAAGTGTGTTATGGGACATTACGTGTACGACTACGTTTCACGATGTGGTTCTCCAGTCCCGTGTGTAGTTGACTTTAGAAAATTGCCTGTTTGGGGTGTCAGCACACTTATCCACACTGAATTGCATTAAACCAGTGAGAACAAATGTATAATGTCCGTGTAATAAATGAGAAAAGGATGTTGCGCGTTTTGCGTCAGTCGTTCGGCGGAAAAGAAACGCATAACAACTTTTTACTCTCATTGCATGGACATAAAACTTTTTCTCATCGATTCCGTGCTTATAAGTGTGGTGACTCCCTTAATTATATTTTTTTACTGACCCTTATATTAAGTGTTATTTTCATTGTTGTTTTGTTATTTTCGTTTAAATAATGCAGATTTGCAATTTGTTTATATAGTACCAATTTCAATTTGTGGTTTAATAAGCAGATATCGTTATAGGCAACATTTAGCTAAACTTCAAGAAAGTAGTACATATAGAGTAGATAATACCTCCCTGATGAAACAACGAAATTATTGTATGGTATTTTGTTCTATATTTTAGATTTGTAAATAATTATCAGCTGGTTAGTAACATTAGAGCTCCTTGGGAAAGAGTTCGTCTAGAGAAGTAGTACCAACTTACCTATTGCTGCCGCCTTCCATTACTGCGTTTCGGTTTAGAAGAGTGAAATTACAGGCGCATGGGACTTGTCAACTTATGTCTCAGGGTGACGGGCGCAGTGGCAGTACCCGTAACATTTTTGCGATTTAAAGCTCTGAATGACACTGCAACCGGTATGGACAGGCGTGTCGCTTATCAGCAGGCGCTTGTTAAGTAAATTCTATTTAGATTTTTCCTTTTATTTTTAAAGAATTTTAAGATGTCCGTATTGTCCACTCTATGTATGTTATTCGAAATTTAGATAAATGTACTCTGCGTATTCCTGTCTCTGTTAATCACAAATCGTTCAAACGATTATTTTTAAGGATAGCACCAACCTTGTTCTATTTTATGTTTGGCTATGTTCACCTGTATTTCTTAAGGACATTAACTCTGCCATTTATACTATCTTGTATTGTACAAAGGATTAAATATAATCGCTGCCTTTCACAGTTGCACTCAGATGTACTAAATGGAGTGGTTTTAATATTAATCAGCTTAGCGCGCTAGATACGCCTCTGTTTTCATATTAATCATATTTCAAAACCTACACCCCCCCCCCCCCCCCCCCCCCCCCCCCACATATAGACGATTCCTCGTTTCAATCGATCGTCACGTTCATCGTATCCGTCGCTACTTAGGCGGCGTTCAAGTTGATCGTTAACGACATAAATATCTACTATCGATTAGTAGTAGAGACACATCGTCTCGTATGTGGGGGTTACATCGCTGCTTGTCGAGAATAGTAGCCCAACTCAAAATAATTCCTGTTTCACTTATTATGGTTCAGATGGTCTACGCCATGTATATGAGATCGCACTGCCAATACAATAGTGTGTTAACTCAAACAGTGAATTTTTTCAGTATTGATGAAAATGTAATTAATCGTACTCACTAACTTGTATATTTAAAAATAAAATAAATAAAGTTGATTAATATTCTATATAAATATTCTTGAACAAGGGCTGGTTTGTCCAGAACTGGCTCAGAAATAGTTTGTCTCATTTTCACTTAAGTACATAACTTTTAATTGTAATGGTTGAGTTACAGCTATTGTAATAGCCGTGCTATATGTCAATTTTGTGCGGCAGTCACGTCTCAGGTTTTAAAACCATCTTCCAGGTGATTAGATGCTTTTGAGATAGGCCACTATTTTAGAAAACGATGAACGACATCGATACCCTGTTTCTCATGACAAGAGCAGCGTAAAGCTACATGGACGGACGGTGATGTGTTGGTTTGTCATAGGTTCTGGTGGGCGGTGGAAGAGTACAATCATACCGAGAACCCCCAGCGTCGGGCCGAACTGGCCCGCGAAATATGGCAGCGCCACCTCGCCGATGGTGCTCCTGAACCAGTCAACATTGATGCTGCAGCACGCCGGGTAACTGCCGAGGGCATTCGACAGGAGCTCCCGGCAAAGAATTTATTTGAGCCGGTAATACTTGATTACATTTGTTTTCTATGTGTAAAAATCGTTCTCGTCTTCCCTCAAGTACGTTTCCGTTTGTTCTATAGAAAACGACGTCGTCTGACAAAATAAGGTATTTTTCTATGTTTATTGAATGCCACGATGTTTGATCTTTAGGATATGCAATTATTTTTATGAAATCACTAATTTGTTATACGAACACTAGGACATTAATTCCTTCGATCCTGCTGGATACGAACCAACATCGAGTATATAACCAGTAATAGAGACGAAATAAGCTATCCACCCCTAGCAACTCATCAGTCAAATGGTACCTGATATCACTTTTAAATATCAACTTATTTAAATATTAATAATGGAGGGTGGTCCCGGTGGTGTGAGAAAGACAGCAAAACACCTAATTACAAAACAAACGGAATCACGTTTCATCGATACTTAAATATTAAATATGTAATTTTTCAATTTTCGTCCATTATAGCAATGCTCAACTTAAACTGGTCGATTTGTTGTGAAACAATTGACGACACCCGTCTTTTTTTCGAATTCGGGCTGACCAATCAGAGCGCAGCTGTCATCATAATTATTTGGCAGAATAGTTTTCAAACAAATTAAATGACATTTCGTTTCCTTACATACTCGATGCGAACCAACGTCTTCCAGCAAACCGTGTCAGACATCAACTAAGCCACGGAACGAACTAGCGGACCTTACTGTTTTTCTATGTGGTTGTTGCATATCTTTGTTTTTATGATGGCGCTATGGCATAAAAGTCGTTAAAAACCATGAACAGAGGTCTGCAACAAGTTAATGGAAAAATTCGTAAGTTGGATGACGGCGATTAGCATCCGATGTTGGAGCAGAAAGGTGGACATAAACTTTATTGAAGCTAGATCCACCGAGTTTGTACTCGTCGAATTACTCGAATCGAATTTTAATAATTCGCTGAGTTATTATATCGCCGGTTTATTAAGTTCAATCTAAAGGTCAATACTTCCTCAGATCGAATACTTCCTGTACTGGATTGATTCTATTGCGCGGATCATCATCGGGTCTAATACAAAAACACGAAAAAAATACCTAACCTATACAAACGTACTGACATATAACGAAATTTAAAAACCTAAAACATTTAATTTAAAATGTAACGTCATTGCAGTACTGCCTAATTTTGCTTGCAATAATTTAAGGGCCCAAAAACACCATATTCTGCTTTTACTGGAAACTTAACAAAATGCAACATATTTTTTTTTTAGCTTCGACTCATGGACTTACAATTATATGGACGTCGGGTCCGCGGTAAAAAGTGTCCGAACTTATAGGGCGTTAAAATCGTATACAGAGCGTCATTCACGCTTTAGTCTTCGTTTGTTCGACTGACAGCGAAGCAAGCAAAATTAGACAGTACTGCGATGACATTACAATTTAAATTCAACGTTTTAGTTTTTTCATATTCCTTTACATGTCACTACGTTTAAATAGGTTGACTTGGGACATTTTTTTTCGTGGTTTTTGTATTAGACCCGTCGTCCATTTATTTGCAAGTCAATGCTTCGACCGAAAATTATTGTAAATATTAATTAATTTTTATATGTATTATTATGTCGAATTTTGTACAAATTCACTTAAAAAAAATATTACTTACAAATGTGAAAATAAGCGTGTACTATAAGAAATGTACCGATATTCTAACCAAACGTAAACTCAAACATCCGTAATTCCGAAAACCGAATTACAATAAAACTGTTATGCTTCCAAGTAATGTTGACACTTTTCACATAGGCAAAATTAGCTTTTGTTTTGTAATATTCCTAAAAAAATACATTTGACATAATGAAAATTCGACCTAACGTTATTTAGGGCGAATGTATTTTCTGACTTCTGATAGGTAATCCCAAGCCCTAAAACGAGTACAACAAAAAATAAAAAAGTTAAATTTCGTTAGTTCTTAGAGTATGGAAAAAAATAAGTCTAAGTGGTAGTTAGTGCTAACGTTTAATAAAAAATCATTTTAAAAATAAGATCAAAATCAAGGCGACTCTATAGCTTCTTTGTTCTAAATTGATTCCAATAATTGAAAATGACCAAGAAGTTTATACAAGCGTCTTGAAATTGACATAATGGTAATGGGTCTCTTTCTATCTGTTGTGCATGCAATGTGAAGAAGGACAGTTTTTTTACAAGTTATTATTATACAATACTGACACGTGATTGACAACCGCACTGTCAGTCGAACAAACGAAGACTGTTGCGCGATTCACGCTCTGTATGCGATTTTAATATAACGCGCCCTGCGGACACTTTTTAGCGTGGACTCGATCGACCATTTGTCGAGCGATAGGGACACTAGCGTTATTTCAGAATTTACTTTTTTTTTACAAACGACGTCAAAACTATTAGAAAAATGTGTACGGGTGCTATTTATTTCAGTAGATATTAAAGAAATCATTGCCATATGTAAAGTACATATTGAATACAACAGTTTTTAAAATGTCGATGTAAGTTTGTGTTTTTTTTCCTATTGTGAAAATTTTTATTAATCAGTGTGCTCGTATATTCGTAATTGTACTATATATTTTTTCCAATGTCAATGACCCTACACTTTCACTGCTATGCAGAAACAACCAAAACCATTGAGGTTGTATTGACTCTTTCATTATTTTTTTTGTTCCACCGTATAGGTAACAATTTCGTTTCTTAAATTGTTCTACTAGAACGAAGTATATTAAGCTGTAATCGTCATGGTTTAGAACCGAACCTTCGGACATGGTGCGGGCTGATTTAGAGACACTGTACATTTTAATCATTATGACATCGAATAATAATTTGTATTTTCTGTTAATTTTAACGATCAAAAAAATCAGCACAGGGTACTAAAAAGTCCGACGTCAAAATTCATTCGTGGAATATTTTCTTCTTTAAATGGGACCACATCTGAGGCACCCTCTTTCCAACAAAAAAAAGAATCATTAAAAACGGTTAAATCGCGCAAAAAACGCATAAAGTTATCGCGTAACGTACATACAAAAAAATTACTGTCGAATTGAGAACAAAAACAAAGAACATTTGTCGCAGTTGTAATTTTAAATAAAAATTACAGTATATTAAATAAATTACCGGAATATTTATCCATAGAGATTTACACCATGGAATCGATAAATCGAATCGGTTATTGTGTACCTCGCGTCAATACGTGTGCAAATTGTATTACAATGACCTTGTATGTGGGTCGATTTCTTTTGTTTTGAATTTTGCATTATGTGTTTGGAGTCCTTGTTAAAATTTCGTTCCGTTACTGTTAGTTTTATGCTTTGTTGTCGGCTTTTTGTTTGGTCATTGTTGATTTTTTATTTTGTTGCGTAGTTCTTTAGTAACTTAAAAAACATAATAATTTAATCCTTTTTATATTATTCGTTATTTTATGATATTTAACTGCCTCCGTGGCCGAACGGTTGCCGGACTGCGACGCACAGGTCCCAGGTTCGATTCCCGGGCCGGGAGAAACATTTGTATGGTCTATATTTATTTCTCTCGTGAGTTTGGGTGTAATTTGTGGTTGTCTATGTGTGTGTCCATGGCACGCGCGACACAGGGTTTCCCTAGTGCGGGGCTATGTTGATTGTGTGCGTTACTATTTGTTCTCAAACTGTTGTCTCTAAATGGATTCCCACTTCGTTATAAATTATCTCAATAAAATATTTAAATCGATTTTTTTTATTCTATTTTACACCACTACATCTCTAGAAACTTCAAAACTAAATTAAATTCACCGTACGTGGGTATGTGAAATGAACCATAGACCCCGTACTTCCCGTTGTTTGATATCGTGAAAAAAAATCTAATTGTCAATTTACTAACATAAGTTAATATTTGTGCTTAAAATTTAAAACAGCATACAAATTTTATTAACATACACAAATTTTTGATACAGGCAGCTCTACAAGTCTTCAACATCATGAAATTCGACTCATACCCGCGCTTTTTGCGCTCAGCTGAACACGCAGCATGCGCACGCGCCGATCTACGCGGACAACCATTGCCGTACCAAGGGCAATCAAACAACTTCGCCAAGGTAAAATGTGATTAAATTTGTCTCCAGTATTACCGACAAATACCACTGGTGGTTCTTAATAAGTCTTTTGTTCCCACTAGTACCGCCATCCCGTCCTTGCAATTGGCCAAATGTAACTTTCTGGTTAATACCTAACATGTCCACATAACTCTTGTTAAATTGGTATATCAACTATCTTATTCTTGCTAGGCCTTTCAATGGATGTTCTCCTGCTTCTGTGTAAGTATAATTAACGCTTAGTTAAACAACTGCTGGGTGGAAATTTGAGGTAATCCAGACGTTAGCGTTGCAGGTATTACCAACTTGACAGCAAAATGTAAAAAGTAATTCTTTCATTAATAAATCATTGTAACGATCACGCCAATTACCAGATCTGAAATTAAGGATTTGCTAGTAGAACGAGTACTATAGCAAGGAAATTAACTCCGGGGCGGTACTACCTGGAAAACTTTGACCGGTGCTTAGTTTGCTGCTTGGCAAACCTTTCTAAAGGAAGGGAAGTTTAGAAGCAGTGGAGCTCCTTGTGAAAAAATTCGTCATCAAGCGAACTTAACTGCATTCCAGTTTTGAAGGGTGAGGGTGCTGGTGAAATTACAGGCACATGGGACTTGTCGACTTATGTGTCAGTGTGACAGGTCTTTGCGGTCTAAAGCTCTGAGTGGCACTACAGCTGCTATGGACAGGCATGTCGCTTGCCACCAGGCGCACGACTTGTTCGTCCCGTCATTTTGTATCATAAAAAAAAGTCTGATACGATTTCGATAGACCTGTCAATTTTGGACTACTTGTCATAGTAAACAAAACCGTTTTGGGACCAGGAAAGCTTCAACTTTGCTGATGTACTCCGTCCAGCCATTTATTAAACTTTTGACAGCTCGAATTCTAATAAATTAGGGATGTCCTAATGCGTTTCCGATTCGATTTTTCATAACAATCGATTTTATTTACTGCTTTTATTGATAAGCATATATAGGTATAAACACAAAGAAAATTAACATCGCAGTAACGCGCGATGCGGAGCAATTCGCAAATTCTTGCTATGCGTGGTGCGAGCTCGTAGATTTTGTGTTTCGACCCTATAGTACGTAGCATGTCGGCATTTAACTCAAGCATAACATATCGACTGTTATGAATGGTATCCTAAGAATTGATTTTCTGTAGCTATAACCATACCATCTCAAAATTCCACACTGCACGCCATATCGATGTTAGATAAGCGGCAACTGTGTGTTTTTACGAATGAAATCAAACCTGTATGTCTGTTCGTAGAAGCGGTTGTGGTTTTTACGTACGGCTTTAGCGTATCCATTTTATAAGAAAGATACAACGTATAATTGTGTATGCACTGACTTAAACTTTCACGATTTTCGCACATTATTTGATTTAAAATTCCGGACTTAATCATATCGCACTGCTATTACAATAGTGTTGTAATTCAAAATATGTGAAATTTAATATTATATTATTACTGAACGTCTAATATGATTCTCTACACGCCAAAAAATCCTTCGTTAGAATATTGTAAGAAATAATCAATAGATATCCACTTAACTCAAAATCAGACACTTTTTCTAAAATATGAAATTATTTTTTTCCATTATATTTTTAAATATACTTGAGAAATTGTTTAAGTGTCTATAATAAACTGTAACATACATACATGTTAATGATTTTTGTAATAAGTAATTCGTTATTTCATCGATTCTGAGAACGTCCACTTTTTGAGTGCGATATATAAAAACACATTTTATTTACCTTGACGTTTCGGACGTATTACAACGTCCATGGTCTCGAAGGGACTTTGAGTAAAATATGTGTTTATACACGATTACGTCCCGAATTTAAAATCAAATAATACAACGTGCATTCTCTTGCTTCACACACGTGAGCAACATTATTAGTAACTCCATCAATCCATCTTTGTATTAATAATAATTATAACAAACTAGTGGAGTAATTTCACAAAAAATAATTGAATATCGTGGTGGTCAAACACCGTGACTAGTGTTGTAACTTGAAAAAAAAAACCAAATGTTTTTTTCTAAATCTGGTTTTTTTTTTCACAAAAAGTAAAATGGAGTAACTGATATAAAATAAGACACTAACTTTTATTTTAAGAATATATATATGTGAATATATATAATAACAGGTTTATTAAAATCATTTACCATGTTGATTATAACAAAAAATTAATCTTCATTTGTGGTGTTACTAGAAGGGTCGTGGGCTCAAGACGCACCGACTGATAATAGTAGTAATTTAAAAATTCCGCACAAAGTGCTTCAAATCCTACCGAATAATTTCATATATGCGGCTTGCTAATAAAAAAAATGTTTCTTTATTAAGGTATACACCCATTAATAAATTTAACATTATTAATTACATTACATTACGTAACCAATTAAATTGAATTTATTTACCGAATATTATAATTATTAATGAAGTAAATAATTAAGAATTACATTAAATTGAATTGAATTCACATCAGAAATAATAGTATGACAATAATTTATTTATTTAAATTTTAAAAATGGATTCTAATAATTCTATGTAAACGTTGCTATATAAGGGATATGTGCGATGTGGAAAAATATTGATATCGCTCTTACATAAATAAATAAGCAGTGTTTTATCAGTAATCATCAAAGTAGCGATGCAACAGCAATCGATAGATTTAAATGTTAGAATCTATATATAGATAGCGTCAATCCCACAAATTGCCCAATCGAGTTGAAATTCCCCGAAATTTGGGGAATTCGCCACGAATTGACAACACTGAGTGTTGCCCATTTATTTTGAGCAATTTATCTATGAAGAATAATATTAACTACAATAGAGGAAATGTGTTAAAAAAATACAATTGTCATATTTTTATTTTCATACTTTTAGAACAAAGATTAACATACTCCAGAAAAAAAACGGTTTTTTAACAACATTATTTGTGACATTCAATAAATTTAATTAATATTAGTAACAGTAAAACTCCTTCTCAAAGAGTTCGTCCAGGAAAGAACTGCCAATGTTATCACAGCCTCCAAGTAGTTAATTACTGCGTTACGGTTTTGAAGACCGCTGGCGAAACTACATGTGGGACTATTCAATTTTATGTCTCAGGGTCGTTCTCAGTGTCTTTGCTATTTAAAGCTCTTAGTGGCACTGGAACTGTTGTGAGTATAAGACACGACTTCTTTCCCCTGGAGAACGCGTTGCCGCGTGAATATAACTGTCATGGCAAAATACGCTCTATTTATTTACCTTTTACGTTTTAACTTAAATGTGGATATGATATAGGGTATGTGCCGCATGACTTTCAGTAGTAGTGTCTCGTACAACTGCCTTCGCTCTCCCCATTCACTCTAACCCTAAAAAAAAATGAGCGTCCCGAGCACGCGAGCGAGGCTGGTTTGAATTTGATCTACTGGTTGTATTATTCCCAGGAATATTGACCTTAGAACTAAGTCCAAACTCATGGTACCACGTTTTCGTTTACTAAGGTAAAAGATTCTTTTATGGGGAACTGTATACGTTTTTACAATAAGCTTCCGGAGTATATATTAAGATTGTCATTTCCTAAGTTTAAAACTTACATTACTTATAAGTATTTTAATTGATGAGTCATATTACAAAATAGAAGAGTATTTGTTAGATAAAGAAGTATGGAAAGACAACAATTGTCTAGATTCCACACAATTATGATTCAAAGTGTATTCCATAGCATTTAAGTTTATTTGAAAGGAGCAATCCCTAGAGTTTTTTGCTTGTTCTTCTCAGGGAGGTTAGCGTAGTGAACGAGTAGTAGCTTAAAAATGACGTTTACAAGTGTAACAATTTTACCTATGGAATAAGTTATTATTTGACTTTGACTTTGAATTTAAATGTTATTGCCTAGTAAATAGGATTCAGATTCGCCATTAGTGGACATGACGGCGTGATAACTGGGCGGCCGCCGCGCGAAATCTTTCTCTTCGTACTCGTGTAACTGGACGTTAACAGTATCTCGCGCTTTACTCGCGGTAGTCGCGCCCCGTCGTGGTAGCCCTACAGGTGGGACTGGCTCGTCCCATCTATGACATCATAAAAAAGGAAATATATATAATGGATTAAAATAGAAACAGAATGATATTAAATCAAATTACACAGCATGTGTATGCTGTAGTAAACCAAATAAAGGTCTGTGTGGATTTTGCAATAACAAAACACATTTTCACCTACCACTTTCAAGGTTGTAACGCATCAAAAACAAAAAACAGTGCGAAGATAATGCATTGTGCGTTTGCAGCGTGAGTGTAGTAACCGCCTTCAGCTTTAGAATAATTTGAGTGTTCTTGTGAATCTAGAATATGGTCAAGGAACGATGTCGGCGATTTGAAAGCAATGACAACCACTTAGTAGAAAAGTCCTCCGTAGAAAGAAAACATTATTTAATTGTAATACTTCGTGATTGATTCGTGAGTGCTTCGCGCTGTTGTAATGTTACGTTATAAGTCTTGCCACAATTCCGCGACTCTAAAAAAATTAAAGTAATTAAATTTTTATTCAATTGATATTCAATTATTATTTCATGTGTAATTACTCCTTTGTTATAATTATTAATCCAAAGATCAGATACTTAGAAAAAATTCCTTCGATCCGGCCGGATTTGAACCGACGTCTTCTAGCATACAGACGCTTTACCAACTAAGCTACGGAACGAATCAGCGGACCTCACGAATTTCTCTATGTTCTTCTCGTGTCTTTGTATTTGGTTTTTCAACGACTTTTTTAGTCGTAGCGCCATCTATGGGAAATCTATGAAAGTATTTCGTCACCCATTTCGTGGCTTAGTTGGTATAACGTCTGACACGGTACGCTAGAAAACGTCGGTTCGAATTCGGCCGGATGGAAAGAATTTTTTCTGAGTTTTCGATCTTTGTATTAATAATAATTTTAAAGTAACTTTAATATAATGAGAAATCGTTTTAAAGTAACACAGAATTAACTGCTGCGTAAATTAAGGTTCCATTTTATTAAAACACATACTTCTAAAAAAAAAGAACCCCTGCAATTCTTCTCACAGTAATCTGTCTTACGTCTAAGATAAGAAGAGAAGAGACTTATCAAACGATTTGTCCCGTAAACAAAAGTTTTAACGTAATCTTTACTGCGTTCATTTCTTGCGTGTATTAGGTATTTGTTTAGTTATAAAATTACCTTTCAATTTAATGTAAAATACCATTTAAAATTACATTTACATTTAATATAATACATTACATTTATGTTTTTGCTTTAATATAGCTAAAGAAAAGCGCTAGTAGCGCTTCGGATCGTCGCCGCAGCGGCGGCGGATCACTTCTGCCGTGGAAGATTCGGCAGGCGTCACGTGAACGACCCACAGCCGACGTAGCAACCAGCACGAGCCCCCAGCCGAGCCCCCAAACGGCTCCCCAACCGGGCCCGTCGACCCGAGACGACGTCCGTCCGTCTGTGCCGGTGGCCCGACCTCCATCCCCGAGCCCCGGCCCGTCCAACTACCACCGCCAGCCCCCCTCGGCTAACTGCCTGATAAACCACGCTCATCTCCCTAGCGCTGAGTCTACCCCGAGCAACAGCTTCGAACATATCGATGTAAGTAACCATAGAACCAGTCAGAAGTTAACATTAAATGGAATTTATATTTTTTTATTGAAAAAAATATAAACGCTTATTTTTCAGATAACAGTCTGCGTTGAGTTTATAGTTTCTAGTTATAAGCGATCGCTTTTAATATTTAATATATTAGAGAGAGTAAAATTTGCCACACAATTTTGACTCATCGGCTCCCACGCTGGGAGCTCGTGGTCCATATTGTTCCCCTTCAAACGAACTAATGATGCTTTTCTGCGTGTGGAATGTCGAAGATAAGATATTTTTTTCGAGACCTGTTCACCCAGTAACGAAACGCAGCTTGCAGCGTCGCTAATATTCGGCTTTAATTACGAAAGACAGATAAACTCTTACATGCCACGCCATATTTAAAAAAAAAAACGAAAAAGTTGTTGATCTTAAATAGATATTAAAGATTTCTAGAGATTCATGCCAATATTCCCGGCCGTTATTTCGAATCTGCTGTCTTGAGTTTTTTTAACACCGGCTGTTTATCCTTCTTTATTAAACTCGTGTGCCGGCCATAATGTTTATTAGAATTTCATGCATTTGTCGCATTGGGTAGAAACTACAATATAACAATATACCTCATAAAAGTGTATAGAGACACGTTTTATAATAGTTTTCAGGGTCATATCGAGTTCTTAGGTTTTTCTAAACATTGGAAATGAGACTGTTTTTTATTTCGGGTTTAAATCGCATGTATTTGTTTCTGTTGAAACAAACCAACGTTTCGGCTCTTTACGGTCCCATACAGGGCTTGCAGAACCTGTCCGGTTCCTTTGATTCCCGGTGCTGGACTCAGCTCAATACCGGTGCTCCCGGTATTTCTTAAGCTTAAACTGTAAACAGTAAATACGCTTTTATTATTATTATTCAATAATTTACGCAATAATAATATCATAAAGAAAAATCTTTATTCTCTAATCAAACTAATAGAAAGAATATTGTTAAAAACAACTAAAAATATCTACTTAACTGAAAATGAGACACGCTTTATGTGATCTAGTTCTTGCTAAAATAGTCCTTCAAAAATATGAAATTATTTTTTCTCTTTTATTTTTAAATATGTGTATTTGGCAAGTATGATAACCTATACGTGCGATATTAGACAGTTCCTTGCAATAACCGGGAATACAGAGAACCTATAATCGCGGTACCGGGACTGATTGCACCTCGCCAGTACCGATATTTCCAGTACCGGGAATTCCCGGGAGTAAGCCTTACGGAGTAAGGACCAGGCCCGTGGTCGCATTGTTTGTTTTTTCACTTTTAAAAATTACGTGTATTTATTTCAACAGAAACAAACCAGCGTGACCACGGGACCTGTAAAGAACCCGAAAGGTCCCGTAGTCACGTTGACTAAGATGGTATTAACATAGTATAATAAGATAAGTAGTGTAACTGCACACAAACGTAGCAGCGCTGCTTGTATGTGTGTACAAGACTTGTTGCAAATATCCGCATCTGCATCCGCAGTCATCGATGCTGATATTCATTGCGGATGTTCGAGTCGTGACATGACCTAAAAGGCAACAGAAACAGACTGCAAGCTGAAAAAGCAGTACAGCTGTTTTTTTTTAACTGTAACTTTTGTAACAATGATTAAGCTAGGTAGATTGATTGTTATTAAATTTGTATTGAATTGACATTCAATTGTTTTTTTTGTGAAATTAGTCCACTAGTTTGTTATAATTCGACCCCTCCTACGTAAAGTATCGTATGTCGAAATTGCCAAGTTTACAAAAGAGCGTTTTAAAGTTCTGAATTCACTGAAAGAGTGATCACCATAGAGCATCTAACCGATATCTAGGATTTTATAATACTCTATGTGAGTAATGAGCTTTGCCGAATAAAACTGAGAAAAGTCACGTGTTATTCTCATTTCAGTGAACTCAGAACTTTGAAACGCTCCCCTGTAAACTTGGCAATGTCGACATACGATACTTTACGTCGGAGGGGTCGAATTATTAAACAAATAAAAAAATCACTTTGATCCAGTTGGATTCGAACCTAGCAAATCATGCCAGAGGCTATGACGCTATGTCAACTAATCCACGGAACGAACCAGCGGACCTCACGAATTCTTCTTTGTGCTTATTTTTATGCAGATTGATTCTTTTATTAATAAATGTCATAAAATCATTGAGATAATATTTTATTGTAAATACCAAAGAAGAATGAAAGATTTTTCACGTAAATAGTTTCTTTAAGATGTACATTTTTCGCGTTTCTTTTAAATAAACAGCCAGCATCAGCAACAACACTGGTACATACGTCATAGTAATCCTTCGGGTAACTTTCTCGCTCTTAAAAGTATTGTTATTATCTTTATTTTTAGGTGGAAGATGTTGAAGTATACTAACGTATAAATTAAGACGTTTTCGATACGCACGCGTCACATCTTTGGAGAGTATATATAAGACATAAGTGAACCAGACTGGCCAAATACTGTAAGGAATGGAAGGCGTTTCCGTGAAAAAAATCGGGCAGGCAAGGTCGACTATGTGTAAAAGTAAAGGAGGTAAAAGAAGATATCCTTGGGTCCATTTTTTGTATTAGAAAATAATTTCCTGGCTGTCACTTACAACGGTCGCCAATGAGCCAGATTTTAGGCATGCGCCGTGTAGCATTTTTAAATTTTCTAAATGTTTATGCCTGACTTCATTGATTATGTTAGTTGTTTCGATTTTTTTTAAATTACTTCTAATAGAGTTATTATACCTGGCTTGATATTTAGTTATGCCATAAATTATGCTAGCCCGATAGTGTGCATTATACTTAGATTTTTAAAAATATAAAGAAAAATATATTCAGGGTTATTTGTAAAGTCCTAACAACCTGTCAGCACTATATTACTAACTGTATGACATTTAAGAGCGAGCAGAGGAAAAATACACGATAAATACACGATATAATACACGTTAATAATACACGATATATTCAAGCATAGACACTAATCAGAAACATAAAACAATAAAGTTTCCTCGATAGATAAAAATCACGAAATGATCTCTAATTTTCACATTTTTTCGATTCATCCTCGAAATGCTAATAGTTATTAAGACAAAAATTAGATAATTAATTATATTTATGCATGATCGAGAACTGTCACTACGGATTTTTTTTTAATCCCTTTAGTTTTAGAGTTATTCCGCTAAAACGAATTTGGTACTTTTAATGCGCAAAATTCAACATCTCCTGTCGCATGTCACGCGAACTTCAGGTATATATTTGTTTCACAAATTTGGGCGGAGCCAACGTCAAAACTTTTTTGGCATGCTCCCTCTTCATTATTCATCAGATTTTGCTTTCATATAAAAAATAGGAATATTTAAATAGACCGCCCTAAAAACAAAAGGAGCTATCAATAGTGAGGAGTAAAACTGGAACAAAAGAAAAAACATTTGCCTTAACAAGTGGGGCCTTGGCTACAATTAAACACAAACACTAAATAGCACACAAGATACCAGTATTCTTTAATTCACTGGTAAATTATACGCGTAAAATTGAGTAGAAAATGGAATAAATTACATAATATTGCATAATATAATATTTGATGATACTAGCTATTGAAATTTCTACCTTGCTATGAAATATAGACCTAAAGATCCGGTCAGATTGTACAAGAGAAACTTAGTTTATTTTTAATACTTACAAAACAGAAAAAAATCATAGAACAAAAGTTGTTAGGTAATTATGATGTTAGTAGTATAGTCCTGCGAGGTTGTGTTTCACCGGTAACCCTGTGTATTATAGTTACGTACCTATAGTGTATGTTATTGTCAGAGATTGGAGAGATAAACTTAAGGTAATACGCATCGAGTGGTTATACCTCTTATTAATACCGTAGTTGTTAAAATATTAATTGTTGTGTAAAATAATTGCAACACATTTTTCTACACTACCGTGTTAAAGGAATTTCTGGTTAAACGCCAATAATATAGAACTAAATACAATACAATAGTACCCGGATTTAAAGGGACTTGTTATCCACTCTATGTTTATTACTTACCAGAGGTTTAAATATTGTATAGCCATTTTAATTTTGGGTTTTTATCATGTTAGCGTGAAACAAATCTTTTAACCATGCTTTGTTTCGATTGCCAGAATATTGGTAAGACACACCTGTGTAACCCCATTCATCACTGCTTAAGACATGACAGAAGAAGAACATACATTCGGTACATAGATGATTCTTCGAGCACGAGTTCCAATTCTGAAAGTACGAAAATAAGATAAATCTATGTGCAAGTCACAAACGTAACTTTGCTGGAGATATTTTGACATAACATAAAATTGTATGGCACCCTCAGTAATAAAGCGAGTAAATAGAATAACTAATTTTTTGGGATACTTACAAAACAACCGGTACTATCTTTTCTAAAGGTTTCACTTTTTAATACCATTTTATACTATTTCCTACTCCGCAGCGTTGCAAGAAATTCCAAAGCAGATACATTTAATTTTGGCGCCAGAATCGACTTCTATCAACTAGTACTGACTTCTAACCAGATGCTATATAAATGTCGCAAACAATTCTTTTCTTCTTCCTGTGAAATTGTCAAAATTGAGATGGTACCGGTTGCCAGTTCACAATCGATATACAGACTTAAAATAACTAATAAATGTAGCAGTAATGCAGCAATGTAGCGTCATGTGAAAGAGTTCGTCCAGGGAAATACTGTCACCTTAAGATGACACTTCACTTCGCTATTTGTAAGGACTATTGTGTACCTAATTGTTGTACTTGGAAAAATATTTGAGGTGCAGACGTATAGTATATAAAATAAAAAAAAACTATAAGAGACGATACAAATGAAATGGCTTTGGTTGGTTCCGTATAACAATGAAAGTGTTGACTCAAAATGTACACTGATTAATATACGGTGTGAAAACTAAACTAAAAAAATTCCTAAAAATTTTCACGATAGAAAAAAACACAAATTTGACAAGAAAACTGCTGTATTCAATGGGTACTTGACATATACCAATGATTTTTTATATCAACTGAACTGAAGAGAACACGATATCGTTACGATATACATTTTCAATTTACATTTTCAATTTCGATTCTGGAATAAGGCCAGTGTAGCTACCGCTCGGTGACCGTCAGGACGGCTGGTCGCCTGTCACGTCTGGCACTGAGTGTGAATATCATAGGTAGCAATTCTTGAATATACACTCAGTGCCAGATGCGACAGGCGACCAGCCATCCTGACGGTCACGCCGCTCGACCCAAGTATGTACCGTCTTAGTGCGGGAAAAATATTAATTCAAGCTGAGGTAGTATCGATTCTTAAAATCAGTCCGGACATAGATTTCAAAACTTAGAACTCCCCTCTTTTTGCATCGAGGAGTAAAAAATGACAGCTGGTGCCAAATGTGACAAAATCCTACTTTATATGGAAAATGATGTATTAGTTTTATTTCCGTTATTTTTTTAATTTATCTTGTAGTTTCTCAAAAATGTCTGTTTTCGAATTAAATCACTTTATTGTTAAGGGTGTGATATATTTTTCAAATTCACTTTTTAACTATTAATCTGATCCAATGGCAGCCGACGCGAAGACAAAAATGCTAGTTACGTTTCGTGGACGATTATATGTTGGGTGTTAAAGAAACTACACATACATTTATTATTTATTTAAGTCTACAGGTACTTGAAATGTTTAATTACATTTTTATACTTTTTTTATGCTTGTGCATGAACCGTATTAATTGTGTCGTCGTAATTTTTTAAACTGATATGGAAAATTCACATAGTTCACGACAAATACGTAAGAGTTAAAAACATTTTGAAGGGCAAGGGCGCTGGTGAAATTATTGGCACATTTTACTTGTCAACTTACGTCTCAGGATGACGGGCGCAGCAGCGATGCCCTCAGATCTTTGCGATTTAAACTTTGCTTCACGGCTTAAAAAAAATATCTGGCAACATTATATATCCCGGAATCCCGAAGTCATACATAATAATATATATAGTATACATAATAAAGTAATTGATCTTAAATAGTTACCTACCTACTCCTATCACTGATTTTCTACAGATAATATTTTTTCATTGCATATAATGTTTATTTAAGAAGAAAATAAGCGACACTTCAATAAACAGAATACGCGCAGTATTTGTGTTTTCGTGCTGTTATTAGAAATTTCTTTATCTCAATTGACGTCATCCATGTATTGCGTTAAGACGCTTTAGCCGCTGTAATTAGACGTTAAATATTCCGACGTGATCACGCTCACCTGATTTGATACACTCGACTATTTGTAAGTTAAATGTGGCGTGTCACCAATATACATACATGAAAAATGTCTAGGGATTAAGCACTTTTTTGTCAATTACTAAAAATCAGGCTTTTCAATAATTTTTTTTTTACATCAATGGGTTTTTAATCGATTTCAAGAAAATACCGATTTCTCCGTTCATTGTGTACCGATTTTCAAAATTCTTTTTTTGTTTGAAAGGGTATACTTGCGAGGTGGTCTCTGATGGCGACGATGCTTTTCCGTGTTCGTTTCGGGTATCACAAATTAAAAAAAAATAAGACTTTTCACTTCACACAATACACGTAACCAATAAATCACCGTCAATCACATGACAACCAGAAAAAAAGTATAAAATGTACAAAGGACCGTAACAGTCACATTGTTACGTTGTGTCGTTTTTAACGTTTTGAGGTCGGATTTTTTTTTTCAATTAACAAGTTACAACTATTTCACAATTTGAAAATGAAGTTGACCAAAAAAGATCCATTGGTGTTAAACATTGACTTACAATTATATGGACGTCGGGTCCGCGCTAAAAAGTGTCCGCACTTGTAAGGCGCTAAAATCGTATACAGAGCGCCAAACTCCGCTTTAGTCTTCATTTGTTCTACTGACAGCGCGATACTGCGATGACATTACAATTTAAATTTCGAATAGGTTGACTTGGGACATTTTTTTCGTGGTTTTTGTATTAGACCCGTCGTCCATTTATTTGTAAGTCAATGGTGTTAAAAAAATAATTTTCAGAAATTAGCAAGAACGTGCTTGATCCATAGACAATTTTGACGTTTGTAGATTGAAATTTAATGTATACCACAAGCATGACAACCCTTATTGTTTACACCTCCATTTCAACCAATTGATATTTATTTTTTATTGAATTTATGATTTTTTTACTACTATATGTTAAGATCGAACTGGTTGCCCCGGTTTGGCAAACGGACGCTGGTCCGAAGCAATTTTTCCTTGAGTTTGTTCGGTCTTTGTACCGATAATAATGTCGTCCAATTGATGTTTCACTGCTGGTGTTCGTTCTGCGTGGCTATGCTCTTTATTTTTTATTTCAACGGTTGCATGCTTCGTTTTAGGTGGTAAAGACGAGCCTGCTAAATGGAGGCACGTGTTCACTTTGCCGAGTCGTCCTCCCGGACGGAGCAACCTCCGTGGTGGGCGTGGAGCAGACACTGCCGGTGCGGAGGCTGGTCGACCGGCTGCTGCAAAGAAGAAATCTGTTATGTTTGAATTACGACGTCTTACTCAAAGACGCTAAACAAGTGAGTGCTGTAATACGCCATAATAACCTTATTTTATGTATTGTAAATAAATAAATAACGCACACACTCAACATAGCCCCGCACTAGGGAAACCCTGTGTCGCGGGTGCCATGGACACACACATAGACAACCACAATTTACACCCAAACTCACGAGAGAAATAATTGTAGGCCATACAGCTATTTCTCCCGGCCCGGGAATCGAACCTGGGACCTGTACGTGGCAGTCCGGCATGGTAACCGTTCGGCCACAGAGGCAGTTTAATTGTTTGTTTAATTGTATATGTGTATATTTATTTTTATAATACTAACTGACGGGACAAACAAATCGGGCGCCTGATGGTAAACTAAACGCCTGTCCATAACAGTTGCAGTGCCACTCAGAGCTTTAAATCGGAGAGACCTTGTAACTTTGTAATCATTTGTAAGATTGCCTGGAAGATTTGTTGTCTAGTGACAAGGCTGCCAATTAAACCGGTCAGTGTTTTTGTTTTCTGAGCTTTAATGCTTATTCTATTATATTCTATTCTACGCCATTAGTTATTCTGGTTGATGGACCAAGGCGTTACGATGTTTTGTCATACTGTTGTCCCTCCGTGTAATCAATCATCATTTTTTTAAACCATTGAGATTTAATTGCAATTATGATAATATTTGCTATTCTGTTAAAATCTAATTGCAATTACAGTTGAGTCTCGGTGAAATAGCAGTGATGGCATATACCTTCATTCGATTGCTAACTATCGATGAAATTACTAAGCATATCTCAATTTTCATCTCGTCAAGAATTTAGTCTTCATCGTTATATCATCATATACAGCCTGACTTCACCCACTGCTGGGTATAGGCCTCCAAGTTTCTGTGCCACTCCCCACGATCCTGTGCTAATCTCATCCAGGTTCGCCCCCCAATTCCTGCGATGTCATCCGCCCATCTCGCCGCTGGACGCCTGTATCTAGCCCTTAGACGCCACTCAGTTATCGCCTTACTCCATCTGTCGCCTTGTCTCCGCATCAGGAGCCCTGCCCAGCTCTATTTTAGCTTCGTAATGCAGTTCCCCACGTCCATTACCTTAGTTCGACTTCGAATCTGGACATTGGGAACACGGTCTATAAGCTTGATATCGAGCAAGACACGACCCATGGCTCTCTCTGCAACTCTCATCCTATACACAGACTCCTGCGTGAGCGTCCATGTCTCGGCACTGTAAGTCATAGTAGGCAGAACACACTGATTATATAGACGGGTCTTCAGACATTGTGGAATTTTAGCTGACTTAAGAATGTCGTGCAACTTGCCAAAGGCGGCTCACAGGGGCTGAATTCTATTAATAATTTAGTCTTCAAATTAGACGTATATAATATTAATACGCTATGCCATCGACGTGCCATATTCGCCATTGAATTGTAAATTTAAATCACATTTATATCACGTTTGCATCGCGTTTGAATCGCGTTTGCATCGTGTTTTAATCGCGTTTGCATCACGTTTGAATCGCGTTTATATCGCATTGTACTGCATCGCGTTTGCACCGCGTCTGAATCGCGTTTGCATCGCTACTAAAAGTCGCTGTCTGTAACCGCTCTAAGATGGGAATTTGACCTTTTTCAGATTTACGATCTGTAGTATTTAGATTAGCAGTACACTTGAATAATTGATCCATTCACTCGTAGTGCCAACCACTGGTCTATTCATTTAATACGTCAATTATTAATAAAAAATCGATGTTATGCCTTCTCGGCTTCTATTGTCTACCACACCGACTAGTTCATGTGTTATTTTGAGAATTTTGTTTTACGGTATTTATTACATACAAAATGACCGAATGAAAGACGAAAAAATTTCCCTCCGTGTAATGCTGAAAAAAAAACGGAATATACTCGTAGTCTAACAACTCGATATGTACTTTCATAGATTTCTCACAGATCGAGCTACAGCAAAAAACACATGGAAAAATTTGTGAAGACCGTTGGTTCGTTCCGTGGCTTAATTGGCAAAGCATCTCGCACGGTTTGCTAGAAGACGTAGGTTCGACTTCAGCCGGACCGAAAGATTTTTTTTGTAAATGTTCAATTTTTTATATTATTGACATTTTTGTGAAATATTTCCACTAGTTCTATTAAGATTATTAATACAAATATCGAACACATAGAAAAACTTTTTCGACCCGATGGGACTTGAACCCACGACCGTACTGCACCGTATTATTGCTCTTACCAACTGAGGTACGGGCCGAATTATCTAGATGCCGAAATTCTCTTATGTGTTTTTGTTAAAGATCTTTGTGCTGGATTTTCCCGCATTCTGAACCGCTAGTGACATCTAGTGAGAGACTTCAGAATCTTCTTCACCGAAGCCGATGTTCAATCTTTGTTAATTATAACAAACTATACTTTAGCCAAATTCGTTGTAGAATGTTTAATAACAAAACGTTGCTAGACAACCAATGATGGCAGAGGGAAAGAACATTTTTTCAATGCTCATTAGTAAGACTTGCTCTGCCCACGGCCTCTCCCTTAATTGAAATTTTAATAGGTAGGTGATATGTTATGTAGAAGTAATACTTAACTAGCCAATTATTACAAAGTTTACAAAATACATATTGATACGTATGATTTAGGAATAAAAATGTATCTCTTTTTTTTTTAAATAACGCACACTCAACATAGCCCCGCACTAGGGAAACCCTGTGTCGCGGGTGCCATGGACACACACATAGACAACCACAAATTACACCCAAACTCACGAGAGAAATAAATGTACGCCATACAAACATTTCTCCCGGCCCGGGAATCGAACCTGGGACCTCTGCGTGGCAATCCGGCATGGTAACCGTTCGGCCACGGAGGCAGTTCAAGGCTTTGCAGCATCGCCTCTACTAATTCCGAGTCACCTATAAGCCTCTAGAC